AGTTTTTTGGAAAGTACGTTTTGGGGAAGAACAAGGGAGATTTAATTAGGACAATTTCTTCCTTTTTTCATCAAAAGCCTTCGTAATTTTAAGTAATCCAATCTTTAACTTCGTACTTTGATTGCCTGGGCCATTGAGGTCTTATTAGGGAACACTTTGGTTTTGTTCCTAAGGTGGGAAGATTTGAGTTACTGAGGATTTTGGGTTGTTAAGCCCTAGGTTAATTGCTAAATGTTTTTCCTGATTTAGCTATTGTTTTCCTCAGTCACGTGGGTATATAATTGATAGTTTTCGTTGAAGAAATGGTGGAGAAGTTCTGGATTGGGTGAGAATATCATAAGTTTGGATTGGGGTTGAGATTAAGTTGTAATATGAGTATTATTAGTCCATTGGAGATTTAATCTTATACTTGTATTGTTAATTGTAGACCAATAACAAGCTATCTAGGATTTGTAGCAAGGGAAAGACTCGGGTCAAATAGAGCTTCCAAGGCTTAATTCGAGAAAAGTGAGTTTATTGTATACGGGATATGTAATGTATGCATGATAACAGTTTTGATTGTATTGTTTCTAAAATTCATGGTTAGGAAGATCAAATAAATGTAACTAAAATGATACCTTGTACACTATCACATGCAATGAACGTGTTTAATTTACTTGTGTTTACAAGTGTTACTGTAGTTCATTATGATTATGATTCTGCTCGTGTTGTGTGACCATTGGTTGGCTTGGGTACCTCGCCATCTACATATATTAAGTTGGCTCAGGCACCACACCAAGTACAGGTTACTACATGGTTGGATCAGGTACCAAACCTAGTTTGCCTTGGTACCATGCCTAGTACATGTTTGATTGTGCTCTTGTATGTTATTTCGTTGAATTAACTCCATATTGTTTTACTAATGATATATCATATTGTATCATTATATATATAAAAGAGAACTCTAGACCCGCCTACATGGTGCCACCATAAACCAGGACTCCCTTGTAATTTATTTTATTTTCAACACCAGTCTTCCCCTTTCATAAAAAGTTGTGACTTTTATAAAAAAATTGTGTCTTTTATGAATAGTTATGCCTTTTACTAAGAGTTGCTCCCTAGACCTACCTATGTGGCGCCACTACAAACTAGGATTTCATTGTAATTTATTTTATTTCCAACACAAGTTGTGACTTTTATGAAAAGTTGTGGCTTTTATGAAAAGTTGTAACTTTTATGAAAAGTTGTAACTTTTATGAATAATTGTGCCTTTTATGAAGAGTTGCGACCTTTATGAAAAGTTATTATTTTTGTAAAAGTTGCAACTTTTATGAAAGGTTGTGACCTTTCCAATAAAACACAATAAGTATTTGTTTACACTATCTTTTGTTGTTTTTAAATAGAGTAATCTCCTCTCATTTTAGTACAACCAAAAAAATTTGAACTTCTTCTTCTTAATAATTAAGTAATTATGTGTTTTGGTCCTGTTGAATGACTAAATGGCACCATTCTTTTCTGAGAGGTTTCTTTAAATTTAAGGTACTAGGGGGGGAATAAGTTCCTTAAGGAGACATTGAGCATTCAGTGAACTAGAATTTTTCTATTCTGTTTCATTCTATTGTTATAGATCCTGGTATGTTTTACCGTTATTAATTTATGTTTATATTATAAATTGTTATTTTTGTTATATACTTTAAATATTTTTGTTTATATTTCTGCAATATTATTGTTACAAGTATTTGTTAGTACATATTAAAGAATAAAGGTTAATTGAGTATTCAAGCATGGTTTTTTGCTACTAGAATTGTTGAAACAATTCCTTAAAAATCTCTAATTTTTTTCGTCAACAACGTCATTTAGGATGAGTTTTGTGTTCTTTAGAAAATCCTCTGAGAGTTAGTAACTTTGTGTGTCCATATTTTTTTGCTTTTATGTTTTTGTTATCTATTTTTACTACATTTTATCAATGGATATTATGAGTACTTTAAGGATTAAAAGTTGATAGAAGTGTTAGTAAATTTTGTAAGGTATACATGAGAACTTTTCTAGTTAGAATGATTTGTCATCATCATTAGATATCTCATAGTTTACTCCCTTTAATATTTGTTTTTCTCGATGATTTGTTGTCTCATTAAAATTGTATTGATAATTTTACATTTTCTATGTATATGATCACACTTGGACAAAGTTTTTGTCCTTTTAATGTTTTCTTTTTTTCCCTTCTCTGTCAGCTCGAACAAATATATTTGGTGTGAGTTATGACTATTTTCAGCAAGCTTAATTTGAAGAATATGAAACAAAGTCTGCTCTAAATAAAATTAACATCTTAAGCTACAAAAGATATATTTATTAACATAGATTTGTTGTACTTTATATCTGAAGTCATTGCTCAACATTTTGTGTTATCTCGGTAGACTCATTTTTAATTATTTAATTATCGAGAATATTTCTTTCACATGAGTCTAGAATCTAATATTTCGATTTACTTGTACTTTGATAATGCAACAACAATATATGCATACTTCTGAAAAAGTCGTAAAACTGAATTAATGAAGCATCCAGCGTGCAAAGGAACAGTATAATGAAAAATTAGTTTCTAAAAGGGTCAACAATATTATTTTGCGCTTGTCTTCAGATTTATATTTCTCCCTCTATAATTTTTGTTAGAGTAACAAGGTTACAATAACGAAAAGTGGTGAATGTTTGACATTAGACAAGTAGAATGTCCATCAAAATAATTATATATGTTGTTGCGGTGTAAATTTTTAAGGTCTTAACTAATTCATAACTAATAGTGATTATCGAAAACTTTTCCGTAATTTGTTTTTAAGGAGGAGTTATTTTAATCATAAAATTATTAATATATTTTTCATGCACAAAAAAGTAGAAAAATATGTCTAATTGCTACCTAATAACATCACTCAATTCAAGATATTTTTAATTATTCATTATATATTTAAAATTCTTGAGATATGTGATAATGTCAAATCATTTAATTTATGTTGAAATGTTCTTAAGACCTATTAAAATTTACTCTTTTTTCTGACAACAGTAGATTATTGGAAAGGTTGTTAAAAAGCTTAGAAACATTATTTATAGTTGTGCGAAGTGCGGTTACCTAGTATTTATATAAATCAGAACCATAGGCCAGCCTAGGTGGCACCACCACAACCAAGCATTTCCGTGAAAAATGATTTATTTCCAAAACTAGTATTACTCTTTGACGAAAATATGTGACTTTTGATGAGAAGTTACGACTTAATGAAGAGTTGCGACATTTATCAAAAGTTGTGACTTTAATGAAGAGTTGCTACTTCTATCAAAATTTGTGACTATTATGAAAAGTTGTGACTTTAATGAAGAGTTGCTACTTCTATCAAAATTTATGACTATTATGAAAAATTGCAACTTTAATGAAAAATTGTGACTTTAATGAAGAGTTTCAACTTTATGAAAAGTTGTCACTTTTATGAAAGGTTGTGAACTTTCCTATTGCAACTTTTTCAAATAGTTGTAACCTTTCCGATAAGGCCAATAAACTTTTGTTCACTCTACCCTTTGTTGTCTATAAATTGAAGAATTTCCTCTCATTTTGACACAATAAAAATTCTGATCTTCTTCTACTTCAGCAAAATTAAATATTTGTGTACTTGCTCCTGTTTAGTGACTTACTGACACCACTATTTTTATGTCAATAAGTTGGTGAATGAAATCGTTCCATCCTGACAGAATAAAATTCGTTAAACCTGTGGTATTGGAGGGCAATAATTTTCTTAAGGGGATATTGTGCATATAGTGGACTCGATTGTTTTCCTTTCTATTTCATTCTTTTTTTTACCTATATATGAAATTTCTCACTTATCAATTTAAAAAATTCATTATGAAAGTTCAAATGTTATAATTGTTTTCATGTTCATGGGTAATTTATGTTTTGACAATGTTAACAAATTTTTGAATGTTCTCCCAAGACAAATATCAGAATTGTATAATCTATACAACTTAAATATTTTTATTTATTAAGAAATGCTTTTTGTATATATATTTCTTATTTTCTTCATTATTTCCTTCAAAGGTTGATTAAAGAACATGTGATTTTATTATTTCACAGATAATTCATTCGTTAGAGGTTCTTCAGTTATGTGATAATGACCAAAAATTAAATTCATTTGGAATATTGCGAATATTTTTAAAAAACCTATTTTCCCAATATTTTTAATGTATGGATATTAAAAAAAATTATGTACAAGTTCAATGCAATTATTATTTATGACCGCGCGAAGCACGGAAAAATTACCTAGTTATTTATTAAATGAAAATATATATTTTACTCTAATGCAATCACTTCAACATTCATAGTAATTGAGTTAAATTCAAATCACTTTGTGCTCCATATTAAAGTATATCCGATTCTTTAAAATTAATATCTATCTACATAAATTAGCGAACAAAAATGAAGAGAAGTCTGACACTCTTATTTGTAGGAAAAACAGTTATATTTTCTAAGTTTTTAAATTGTTTGAATTAGAAAATTCTTAGCTGTTAGCACTAACTAATTAGGAATGAAACTAAATAAGGGGGAATTATTTACTTAATTAATTAGATATTATTAATTTGAAATATATGTAGTTTATGGAACCAGCCTTATCATGTCTATCTATAGTCAAAATATTACTTATTAGGAAAATAATTTACTGTGATTTAATAGTTAATGTGATAAAAATAATAACAAATATGTTTTCATACACAAAATATTATTATAAATACCCAAAGGCTAAGAACATTAGATGAATATTACCATTACAATTTAAACATTCCGTCTCTCCAACTCAAAACTCTGTGATTATAATTACTTTCCTCCATTATCTCACATGGCTTCAGAGAGTAACAACCTTAAGCAATTGAGCCTAACTCCGTCTACCGACTTTGACATCCGTAACCAGTCCATCAATGGCCTCAATGATGCCAAGAAAGTGTTGAGGCTCCCTCGCTAGACTAAACAAGAAATTCTGATTCTCATACAGGGAAAAAAAGTGGTTGAAGAAAGGATCCATCAAGCCCGAACGAGAGGTATGGAACTGGGTTCAACGCAGGTTGAAGCGAAGTGGGATTCAGTTTCATCCTACTGTAAAATACAAGGGGTGAATCGTGGACCGATTCAATGCCAGAGGAGATGGAGTAATCTGTTTGGGTATTTTAAGAAAATTAAGGAGTGGGAGTCTCAGATTAAAGAAGAAAAAGAGTCCTTTTGGATGATAAGGAATAATTTTAAGAGAGAGAAAAAATTACTTGGATTTTTTGATAGACAAGTGTTTGATATTCTTGATCATGGAAATGACAATGAAGAAGGGCTGGATTTGACTTCCGTATCAGAAGTTTTGTCTGATAGTGGCAGAAGTGTTTTTGTAGAGGATGATGGTTTGTTTTCAGATGTACCACAAAAGAATGAGGATGCTATTCCTATGGAAACTTCTGAGGAATTATATCAGCCACTCTCTCTAGTTTCTCCTACACAAGCAGGCATAAGACAAACTACCACTCGAGGAGATGATAAAGGAAGAGGTCTAGAAGGAAGTAAAGGAAAGAGAAACGACTCAAATGATGAAAAAGCAAGGAATGTCCAGCATCATTTAGTAAAAGCACTGCAAAAGAATGGTAAAATGGTGAGTTCCCCACTTAAAGCTCAAATTATGCATTCTGAATGGGATAGGGAGCAAAGAAAGGACCATGTTGATAAATTAGTAGTTGTGCTAAACAAGCTTGCATGTGCTTTAGAAAAAATCGCAGATAAGTTATAGTGCCTAGTTTATTTAATTACAATGCAAATTATGTTCTTTTATGCTTTCAAAGGCTGACTCTTAAAAAAAAAACATATAACGACTACGGACGAAATAATTGTTTTTCCATAAATCTTTTTATACACAAGTATCTCTGTGTTTTGTCACAGTTTTTAGTCAGTGAGACTCCTCAGTATATCTCACTACTTGGGCTTGCTTGCACGTTTTCAGAAATATTTTATATAAACAACAATATCTCACTTCTAGTTGTCATTTTATTAGCATGAATTCCTTTAATATATTGCATCCAATATCTAAAGATTTATTGAAATGTGTTTTCTTAGTACACATTTAGGTCATCATGAAAGGTTAAAAATTGAATATTTTAATTGTTGAAGAAATCATGTTTAGAATAATTTATGTTGTTTTAAAATATATTAAAAACTAAATCTTGCTTAAATTTGTTTTTGTTGATGGGCATTACTCACCAACATGTTACATGACTCACGCTGAATACTTTTCTACACTAACTTTTAGGGGGGGGAGGGGGGGGAACTAATTTACAGAGATTTTGAGTTATTAAGCCCTAGGTTAATTGTTAAATGTTTTTCTTGATTTATCTATTTTTATTCACTCATGTAGCTACATAATTGATAGTTTTCGTTGAACAAATGGTTGAGAAGTCCTGGATTAGGTGAGAAGATCATAAGTTAGGATTGGGGTTGAGATTAAGTTGTAATATGTGTATTATTAGGCTATTGGAGATTAACAAGCTATCTTGGATTTGTTACAAGGGAAAGACCCAATAGAGCTTCCAAGGCTTAACTCGAGAAAAGTAATAGTTTATAGTTTCCAAGTTATGTAATGTATGCATGAGAAATGTTTTTATTGTTTCTGTAATGCGTGGTTAAGAAGATCAAATAAATATAATCGAAATGATACCTTGTACACTATCACATGCAATAAAGGTGTTTTGTTTACTTTTGTTTACAACTGTTACTGTATTTCATTATGATTATGGTTCTGCTTGTGTTGTTTGACCATTGGTTGGCTTGGGTACGCCTCCATCTACATATATTAAGTTAGCTCAGGCACCACACGACGTATAGGTTACTACATGGTTGGATTGGGTACCAAACCTAGTTTGCCTTGGTACCACATATCGTACATGTTTGATTGTGCTCTTGTATGTTATTTCGTTGAATTAACTCTATATTATTTTACTAATCATATATCATATCATATACCATATATTTATATAAGGGAGAACCATATGCCAGCCTAGGTGGCACCACCACAACCAAGCATTTCCTTTAAAATTTATTTATTTACAAAACTAGTCTTCTTCTTTAATGTAAATATGTGATTTTTGATGAAAAGTTACGACTTTAATGAAGAGTTGCGACATTTATCAAAAGTTGTGACTTTAATGAAGAGTTGTTACTTCTATAAAAATTTGTGACTATTATGAAAAGTTGTGACTTTAATAAAGACTTGCGACTTTATGAAAAGTTGTCACTTTTATGAAAGGTTGTGAACTTTCCTATGGGTTGTAACTTTTCCAAGCAGTTGTAACATTTCCGATAAGGCACAATAAAAAATATTGGTTCATTCTACACTTTGTTGTCTATAAATAGAAGGACTTCCTCTCTTTTTGAAATAATAAAAATTCTGATTTTCTTCTACTTCTGCAAAATTAAATATTCATGTATTTTTCTCCTGTTTAGTGACTTACTAACACAATTGTTTTTATATCAATAAGTTGGTGAATGAAATCGTTCCATCCTGAGAGGATGAAATACTTTAAACCTTTGGTATCAAGGGGAATAATTTTCTTAAGGGGGACATTGTGCATTTAATGGACTCGATTGTTTTCATTTCTATTTCATTCTTCTTTTTTTTTTTACATATTCTGATATATCTTTTAGACTCATTAATTTATGCTTTGATGATATTCATTATTATTTTTAAGTACATATTCTAAACTTTAGTTTTTTTTTTCTTCAAAGTTATTGTCTCTAGTTATATTGAACATATACATGTATAGAACATATATTTATTGTGCACAAAATAATTATTGTGCTCAGTTCCTCATGTTATGATATTCTATATAAAATTATATAACTTAAAAGTTCTATATATAAGCTTACATATTTATCTATTTTTACACATATATGAAATTTCTCACTTATCAATTGAAGAAATTCATTATGCAAGTTCAAAAGTTATAATTGTTTTCATGTTCAAGGGTAATTTCTGTTTTGAGAATGTTAACAATTTTTTGAATTTTCTTCTAAGACCTATATCACAATTGTATTATCTATTCAACTTAATGTTTTTATTTTATTGAGAAATGCCTTTTGTATATATATTCTTATTTTATTCGTTATTTTCCTTTTAATGTTCATTAAAGAACCAATGATTTATTATTTCATGAATAATTCATTCATTAGAGGTTCTTTATTTATGTAATAATGACCAAAAATCCAATTCACTTGGAACAATGTGAATATTTTTTTAAAAACCTATTTTCCCATTATTTTTAATGTATGGATATTAAAAAAATTATGTACAAGTTCAATGCAATTATTATTTATGACCTGCGAAGCGCGGAAAAATTACCTAGTTATTTATTTATTGAAAACATATATTTTACTCTAATGCAATCACTTCCATTTATAGTAATTGAGTTGAATTCAAATCATTTTGTGCTCCATTTCAAAGTGTATCCGATCCTTTCAAATTATATCTGTCTACATAAATCAGAGAAGAAAAAAGAAGAAAAGTCTGACACTCTTATTTGTAGGAAAAACAATTATATTTTGTATGTTTTTAAATTGTCTGAATTAGAAAATTCTTAGTTGTTAGCACTAACTAATTAGGAATGAAACTAAATAAGAGGGAATTATTTACTTAATTAATTGGATATTATAACTCTGAAGTATATGTATTTTACGTAACCAACCTTATCATGTTTATTTATAGTCAAAATATTACTTATTAGGAAAATATTTTTAATGTGATTTAATAGTTAATGTGATAAAAAATAATAACAAATATGTCATCATACACAAAATATTATTATAAATACCCAAAGGCTAAGAACATTAGATGAATATTACCATTACTATTTAAACATTCTGTCTCTCCAACTCAAAACTCTGTGATTATAATTACTCTCCTCCATTATCTCATATGGCTTCAGAGAGTAACAACCTTAAGCAATTGATCCTAATTCTGTATACCGACTTTGACATCCGTAACCAGTCCATCAATGGCGTGAATGATGCCAAGAAAGTGTCGAGGCTCCCTCGCTGGAATTGGGTTCAACGCAGGTTGAAGCGAAGTGGGATTCAGTTTCATCCTACTGTAAAATACAATGGGTGAATCGTGGACCAATTCAATGCCAGAGGAGATGGAGTAATCTGTTTGGGGATTTTATGAAAATTAAGGAGTGGGAGTCTCAGATTAAAGAAGAAAAGGAGTCTTTTTGGATGATGTGTAATAATTTTAAGAGAGAGAAAAATTTATCTGGATTTATAATAGAGAAGTGTTTGATATTCTTGATCATGGAAATGGCAATAAAGAAGGTTTGGACTTGACTTTCGTATCAGAAATTTTGTTTGATAGTGGCAGAAGTGTTGTTGTAGGGGATGAATGATTTTTTTTCAGATGTACCACAAAAGAATGCTATTCCTATGCTAACTTCAGAGGAACCATATCAGCCACTCTCTAGTTTCTCCTACACAAGCAGATGTAAGACAAACTAGTTGTGCTAAACAAGCTTGCATGTGCTTTAGAAAAAATTGCAGATAAGTTATACTGCCTAGTTTATTTAATTACAATGCAAAATAAGTTATTTTATGCTTTCAAAGCCTTACTCTTGGAAAAAAATAACATATAACGACTACAGAAGAAATAGTTGCTTTTTCATAATTCTTTTTATACACAAGTATCTCTTTGTTTTGTCGCAATTTCTAGTCAGAGACTCCTCCGTATATCTCACTACTTGGGCTTGCTTGCTCGGTTTTCAGAATTATTGTATACAAATCATAATATCTCGCTTCTAGTTTTCATTGCATTAGCATATATTCCTTTAATTTATGGCATCCAATATCAAAAGATTTGTTGAAATGTGTTTTCTCAGTAATCGTTTAGGTCATCTTGAAAGTTCTAATAATTTAATATATTAATTGTGGAAGAAATCGTATTCAGTATGATTTTATGTTGTTTTAAGATATATTAAAACCTAAATATTGCTTAAATTTGTTTTTGTTGATGGGCATTACTCACTAACATGTTACATGACTCACACTGAATATTTTTCTAAACAAACTTTTAGGGGGGAAATCTGAGATACTTTCAAAAAACACTCGTTTATATCTTTATTTTTCTCCTTGGATTCTCCTCTTATTTGGCCGAAGGGTTGTGGGATCGAACCCCCAAAACCCTTTTTATTTTTCATTTAAAATTGTGTTGCCCAATTCGCCTAGACTAAGAGGTTGTGGTGTCAACCTCTCTTTATTCGCTCTTTATTTCGCTAGTGACAGGGAGGTTATGGGTTCGAACCACCACAATCTCCTTATTTTATTTTTACTTAAAAATTGACTTACTATGCGTTTGGCAGTGAGGTTGTGGGATCGAGCCCCCACAGCCTCACTTTATTTTCTTATTTATTTCGCTCCTTCCCCCTTTCCAGCCTTGAGGTCGTGGGTTAGATTCCCACACCTCACACTTCCTTTGTTTTATTTTTCTTTCCCTTCATTTGTTGCCTGGAGGTCGTGGGTTCGATTCCCACGCCTCCCATATTATTTATTTAAATTTTTGTATTCTCCTTACTCGCCTGTACACCCCATTTCAAATCCTCCCAACACTTTTTTTCTTTCTTTTTCTTGCGAAAGTAAGGTTCCACACGGGTGAGGTCACAAGTTCGAATCCTGGTGGCCTCATCTCTTTTAAAACCAATTAAATTTCCAGATTACTCCTCTATACTTTAGCCTAAACGAAACTTGTTGTTTTTG